CAAGTGACCTGAAGAGTGTCATCATGGGCTTGTCCTCCCTAGTTTTGAAGGTTCTCATTATCCATCCTGTCATTTTTCTAGCAGATGCGATTGATACAATGTTATGGTCCTTGAAGGTGAGATCCTCCAACATGATCACTCCCAGGTCTTTGACGTTGGTGTTTCGCTCTATTTTGTGGCCAGAATTTGTTTTGTACTCTGATGAAGATTTAATTTCCTCGTGTTTACCATATCTGAGTAATTGAAATTTCTCATCGTTGAACTTCATATTGTTTTCTGCAGCGCACTGTATATATTTTCCAGAAATACAGTAGTTATATGTAAATAGATGGCTATTCTGCATTTAATAATATTTATGTCATAGAAAACGGAAAGCCTGCGTCTGGGCAGAAGGACTCGCCATTTTGGTTTGAATGAGCCAAGTAAACGTTAGTGTAATTGGAAGAATTTTTCGTGCTCTAGAGGTTAAAATTGGGCTGACACCTCTCAAATAGGAGGCGAAATTGTTGGATGTGCAGTCCTGCATAACTTGAGATATCAGGCGACTGGACAAGACAGCTCCAGGAACCTCAGATAAGTCTGTTATGTTATAACTCTGGTCAGGTGTTATTTTCATGTATAGACAGTGAGGTTTTCTGAGTATGATACACATTAATCTCCAGTCAAATTGGTGAGTGATATTAAGATATTTTCCTTCTGTTATGTAAATGTGTGTATACTATAATCCTTTTTTAATTTTAATATGCAGTCCACAAATTTATATATTTACCAACATTCCTGGTGATGTATATTTCATTTAATTAATAGGTCCAGAGCAACTTGTGTATATGACAGTGGTAGGTATCGAAGGTGGACATTTTTTGCGACCTAGGTGTCCCAAATTCCTACTTGTCTAACTGATAAATAATAATTATCTTTGCTCATTTACTGTTATGTACATAATGATGCATTCAGATAAATGCAATTTTCCATAAGGTCGTCACTATCAAACACAGCTGGGTATAGTGCTCATTGTAGTGCCCAGGAGCAGGAGGTCGTCACTACCAAGCACAGCTGGGTATAGTGCTCATTGTAGTGCCCAGGAGCAGGAGGTCGTCACTACCAAACACAGCTGGGTATAGTGCTCATTGTAGTGCCCAGGAGCAGGAGGTCGTCACTACCAAACACAGCTGGGTATAGTGCTCATTGTAGTGCCCAGGAGCAGGAGGTCGTCACTACCAAACACAGCTGGGTATAGTGCTCATTGTAGTGCCCAGGAGCAGGAGGTCGTCACTACCAAACACAGCTGGGTATAGTGCCCACTGTAGTGCCCAGGAGCAGGAGGTCGTCACTACCAAAACACAGCTGGGTATAGTGCCCACTGTAAGGCCCAGGAGCAGGAGGTCGCCCACTACCAAACACAGCTGGGTATAGTGCCCACTGTAAGGCCCAGGAGCAGGAGGTCGTCACTACCAAACACAGCTGGGTATATGCCCACTGTAGTGCCCAGGAGCAGGAGGTCGTCACTACCAAACACAGCTGGGTATAGTGCCCACTGTAGTGCCCAGGAGCAGGAGGTCGTCACTACCAAACACAGCTGGGTATAGTGCCCACTGTAGTGCCCAGGAGCAGGAGGTCGTCACTACCAAACACAGCTGGGTATAGTGCCCACTGTAAGGCCCAGGAGCAGGAGGTCGTCACTACCAAACACAGCTGGGTATAGTGCCCACTGTAGTGCCCAGGAGCAGGAGGTCGTCACTACCAAACACAGCTGGGTATAGTGCCCACTGTAGTGCCCAGGAGCAGGAGGTCGTCACTACCAAACACAGCTGGGTTTATAGTGCCCACTGTAGTGCCCAGGAGCAGGAGGTCGTCACTACCAAACACAGCTGGGTATAGTGCCCACTGTAAGGCCCAGGAGCAGGAGGTCGTCACTACCAAACACAGCTGGGTATAGTGCCCACTGTAGTGCCCAGGAGCAGGAGGTCGTCACTACCAAACACAGCTGGGTATAGTGCCCACTGTAGTGCCCAGGAGCAGGAGGTCGTCACTACCAAACACAGCTGGGTATAGTGCCCACTGTAAGGCCCAGGAGCAGGAGGTCGTCACTACCAAACACAGCTGGGTATAGTGCCCACTGTAGTGCCCAGGAGCAGGAGGTCGTCACTACCAAACACAGCTGGGTATAGTGCCCACTGTAGTGCCCAGGAGCAGGAGGTCGTCACTACCAAACACAGCTGGGTATAGTGCCCACTGTAAGGCCCAGGAGCAGGAGGTCGTCACTACCAAACACAGCTGGGTATAGTGCCCACTGTAGTGCCCAGGAGCAGGAGGTCGTCACTACCAAACACAGCTGGGTATAGTGCCCACTGTAGTGCCCAGGAGCAGGAGGTCGTCACTACCAAACACAGCTGGGTATAGTGCCCACTGTAAGGCCCAGGAGCAGGAGGTCGTCACTACCAAACACAGCTGGGTATAGTGCCCACTGTAGTGCCCAGGAGCAGGAGGTCGTCACTACCAAACACAGCTGGGTATAGTGCCCACTGTAGTGCCCAGGAGCAGGAGGTCGTCACTACCAAACACAGCTGGGTATAGTGCCCACTGTAGTGCCCAGGAGCAGGAGGTCGTCACTCCCAAACACAGCGGGGTTTATAGTGCCCACTGTAAGGCCCAGGAGCAGGAGGTCGTCACTACCAAACACAGCTGGGTATAGTGCCCACTGTAGTGCCCAGGAGCAGGAGGTCGTCACTACCAAACACAGCTGGGTATAGTGCTCATTGTAGTGCCCAGGAGCAGGAGGTCGTCACTGCCAAACACAGCTGGGTATAGTGCTCATTGTAGTGCCCAGGAGCAGGAGGTCGTCACTACCAAACACAGCTGGGTATAGTGCTCATTGTAGTGCCCAGGAGCAGGAGGTCGTCACTACCAAACACAGCTGGGTATAGTGCCCACTGTAAGGCCCAGGAGCAGGAGGTCGTCACTACCAAACACAGCTGGGTATAGTGCCCACTGTAAGGCCCAGGAGCAGGAGGTCGTCACTACCAAACACAGCTGGGTTAGTGCCCACTGTAAGGCCCAGGACAGGAGGTCGCCCACTACCAAAAACAGCTGGGTATAGTGCCCACTGTAAGGCCCAGGAGCAGGAGGTCGTCACTAACCCAAACACAGCTGGGTATAGTGCCCACTGTAAGGCCCAGGAGCAGGAGGTCGTCACTACCAAACACAGCTGGGTATAGTGCCCACTGTAAGGCCCAGGAGCAGGAGGTCGTCACTACCAAACACAGCTGGGTATAGTGCCCACTGTAGTGCCCAGGAGCAGGAGGTCGTCACTACCAAACACAGCTGGGTATAGTGCCCACTGTAGTGCCCAGGAGCAGGAGGTCGTCACTACCAAACACAGCTGGGTATAGTGCCCACTGTAAGGCCCTCAAGTTTACCTGGTTTCAATATTTCTTTTAATGTTAAATTATGCAGTGTTTACATTACACAAAAGTTTCAGTAAATAATAAGCCACACAATACTGTGACTGGAACAATTCAGCAGTAATCTTCAAACTGAAAATTATCAGGTGATGATGGAGGAAGAAAATATGAGAAAAAATGGGAGTCAGTTTAGGACGTTGACGGACTACCAGACAGATAAGATCAGGTCAATTAACGTGTGTTCTTAACATTAAAGTGTATGTAAATAGAAAACTTATTCTTCTCTAATTAACCCGCTGCTTCACTGAAAACGCTCGTCAGTGACTGCCCTTTTTAATTTACAGAATATAACATCATACGCCCTCTGGATATTAAACATGCATTTCTTTATGCATGTATTTCGAAGGAATCTGGTTCAGGTATTTTTCCTAACTACATCACTACTTCAAAAATTTACACTATTTCTTGGTCCTCTTACCTTCTCTTATTTTTTTTTTTTTTTTGGAAAAACTAACCTAACCACGTATCGACCTGGTTAGGTTAGGTTAGGTGAGGTTCGTCAGGGAAAAGGACAAGTGTTTCCTGACGCGGGTCTTAGTCAGATGTTGACCCACCGTTGGAGCTTTTGGTAATCTGACCGAGGCCTTCCGCTGGTTTTCCGGTCCACCCCTTTAAAAATTATGGTCATAGTTATAACCTTCATTTATCGTAGATAAATGGTTCAGAGAACCGACAAGTTGATAACTTAGACACATGTGCAACACTTGGGTATCTTTAATGAGGAAACGTTTTGCCACGCAGTGGCTTCATCAGTCCATATAAAGGAGAATGGTGAAGAACAGGGGGAGTTTGAGGTAATAAGTCTCAAGGCTGAGGGACTGTTTACCTCAAACTCCTCCTGTTCTTCACCATTCTCCTTTGTACGGACTGATAAAGCCTTGAAAAAGTCATTTATAATTTGTATAATGAAAGAATTCTGAGATAAAAAGTTTATACTTGTTTATACAAGAAATTTGTTCCTCTCAAAAAATCAGTTACATGTTTATCTCCCTTTATGCAATCAGTTACCATTATTTATACAGTGTAACTTTTATCATAATCTGAGTTTAATACTTTTATGTTAAAATCTGGAAGAAATCTACTACTGACTTAATAATATATTTAATTGTTTACTGTTATCGGAATATTTTATATAATACATCAAGAATAATGAATTCAAGGTGAGGTGCTAATCAGTTCTACTGTATGGAAAGCCACATTTATATAGTGAATATTTTCAAGATTAATTAAATTATACCTGAGCCTCAATATATACTTTACTTTCCACTTGGTATATCTCACACTATGTAATAGGACACAAGAGCAACTAATGTGACATTTTATTGTGGTAATGTTTCGCTCTCCAGGAGCTTTATCAAGCCATTACAAACCATACGGGAACACAGAGGACTTGACAAAGCTCCTGGAGAGAGAAACGTTGCCACAATAAAATGTCGTATTGCACTTGTGTCCTTTTACCTAACACACTGTCGATAATTTTACCAACATTTTTATACCTTTCACTACACTCGAGGAACTAATTCGAAAGGAAACAATAACTGAAAGTATATTTATATATATATTTAATTAATATTGGCATATACTACATAATTTTCAAATATATTCACAAGTCATGTCTTTCCCTTGTTATATATGGCAAGACACTACAGATAAGTGTAAAGTTCTTCAACATGCAACTAATATTAAGTTGTTAAATTATACATTAATTAATAGTTGCTTGCTAGAGAATCTGCAAGGCATATGTATGAAACTAATGAAATAAAATTAAATGCGCACCCAACAATGTTGACTAAACATTAAAGGAGCTTTAGTCGTTACTATGTGGTGATCCTTACTTTTTTCGAAAGGATTAAAAACATAGTTTTCATATGTTGAGGGATGCTGATCCACTTGACGGGTCACTAGCTGACAAAGCCGGTGTCATGATACACTTGTCCTGTTTCATAACATTAAGGCTCCTAATAATTTATACAGATGTATTCAGATAAGCATATTTTACAAAACGACCTGTAAAAGTCGAAGATTATCTAGAAAAAGTTTTCCGAGGGAATGATCAGGATAGATTTCCGGTAATGATTTAGTCAGAATTTAGTAACCATAAGATGGCGTATAGCTGGGATGCTTGGCAGTGCCCTGGAAGGACACGGTAGCATGATATCCACTACCGTCAGCCCAGTAATCAACCCTCTCGAGTCGACCGTCTGGTAGTTGGACCCAGTAGGAGCCCTTGGCGTTGCCACCGTTACCACTCTCTTGCTGGCCAAAGTTGGTGGCTCCAGCGTTGACGTCATAGTTGAAATTATAAGGGATCGGAGCCTGTGGACACACCGTTATGCTCGAATTATTAGTAGTATATTATTTTATATAAATTTAATTTTAGCAATAGGCATTCCTGTATATGACATTTTGTTAATCACAATAAAAGTATATGGGATGACGTACATAAGAGAGTTGTTGGTATCCCCCTGGGAGAGCCACACCTGCGGCCACCAGCATACTCATCAACACCACCTGTGGGAACACGAGAATCTTACTTTAACTTCTATTTTCTTTAGTATATAGTCTTTATAATTTGGTTTGTCAAATAAAATTGATTGAATAATAATAATCATATATAAATCATCTACTTTTTAAACGATTCTGCGATATGAATGGAAGTTTCGAAAGAATGTTAAATTCAAAACTTCTGAGATTTATCGTAACAAATCTTATTGTTCGGAACATTTAATATTGTTTTGAGTTTACTCAAATGTTACTTAAATGTTACTATAATGTTACTATGATTGTTGTAAGGATATTAAGTGTGATGAAGAAAAAGGAGCTTCTGATTTAAAAATAATTTTTTTTTTTATTCACCGGTATTAATTTTGAAATAGAAGCATTTTAGTAAAAAGAAATTTATTTTCAAATAATGATAAGATGTGAGTATATGTAAGTTTCTTAATTTCTCAACATTAGAAGCTTTAACTATATTATTTATGACGCAAGAATCAAAAGAATTTTTTTTGAAGCAAGGTGAATAATATTACTCACAGAAGTGAACATGGTTAGTAGTGCAGTGTTGGAATGGTGAGCAGTCACTGTCTCCTCCTTGACCAGGAGCCTGACTTTATACTCCCAGCCAGACCCTCAGTCATCAGCCTCTCTCATCACAGCTCAACAAGGTCGCATATGACAAGTTGGTTTTCCTCTCTCTGGTTGAAATTTATGTGCGAGTCATGTGAGTCTCATATTTCGGAAGGCACAAACCATAACTTGTAGACAGCCTGTACTGTCTGCACAGACAGTCATGCTGTCTGCCAGCTTAGTTCATATTTCACAGCACTAAGGTGCTGCCCTCTGGGCCTGTCCAAGTCTGTGGGAAGCTGGTAGCAAGCCACATGGATCATCAAGCCACGTGGATCAGCAAGCCATGCGGATCAGCAAGCCACGTGGATCAGCAAACCACTCAGATCAGCAAGCCACGTTGATCAGCAAGCCATGTGGATCAGCAAGCCATATGGATCAGCACGCCACGTAGATCACGACATCACATGGATCCCGACGCCACGTGGGGTGTGGGCGATGTCACGTGGATCTACAAGCCATGTGGGTTACCAAGCCAGATGTCCCAGGCCTCATGCTGTGGTCTGCTGCCTGCATCACATTGACGTCACCGACAATGCTGCCTGACTTCATGATGTCACGATGTCTGCCTGACGTCACCTCGAGATGTCTGCTGACGTCACAGTGCTGCTGACGTCACCTCGCGACATCACGCCTGACATCACATGATGTCACTTCGAGTGTTCTAGTAATTATTTCAGTATTGTCGAGAAGATTGAGAGAAGATATATGTCGTGTGTTAATTAATTCCTCTCAGTTAGTGTTCTCACATGTTAGTGTATGGCTTCGTGTCAGTTTTGTGCACAGAAAAGCATCATTTGCTAGTTTAAGTCATGTTGTACCACATGTACCGCGGGTGTGTGTAGTTTCCATGTGTCCAGTGAGGTTTGAGCCAGACCTGAGTAGCACCATTGTGTTAAGTCACCCGATGTGACCAGTGCGTTTGACAGCTGTTATCAGTCAGTTCTGAGCCCGAGCCCTCTTGTACAGAAAGCTCTTATGCTCGTCGCTCGTGATGTTCTTCAGAATCGTACCTGCTACGATTCCCATCGAGATTTGTTTCACTTCACCTCCAGACCTTCAGAGTGCAGTTATATGTAGAGAAACAAGTCTGGGGACGCTTAGACTAACCTCTGCTATAACTCCAACTGCCGAGAGAATGACACTCGTCAAGCCGCAGTTAGCCCTGTCAGCAGGCGCTGTGTCAGCCTCATGTCACAAGCTTCAGTGAGCAGCCTGTACAAAGAAGATGTCATTTTGACTGCTAGCTCGCTCACTGCAGTCTGGTGTATGATGTTACGACTCCCAGATGTTTCGCCCAGTCGTCTCTGCCACGACTCGCTCCACGCTCGCTGGCAGTGACAGCCCAGCGACAGCACCAGTCGAGAAGTGTCCTCCTGAGTCGCTTGCCAGAAGTCCTGCCCAGTTGCCGAGTTTTGTCGACGCCTCACTCGAGGGCACCAGCATGTCGTGCCCCAGGTTGAGTGAAACCTGCAGCGACTCCTACGATGTCTGCTTCACCGTTCCAGAGGAGACCATAACCTGTTACGTCACAGCTCAGCCGCAGCGATGTCTCTTGTGTTGCAGTATCTGTCCAGACGCAGGAAGGCATGCAGTGATGCTCTTCGACGCTCACTGCCTATGACCACGTTTAGCACACCCCCACATGTTTTTTTCTTTCCTCCCAGTAGGAAGTTTTTTTTTTCATGTCCATATGTATATATATGTTTTTATTTTGTGTTCTGTGCCCTGCTCCTACGAGAGAGAGACCGATATTTTTTTACCACCAGTATTGTCGGCGAGGTAGGTGGCTGAGCGTATGTAGACAGCCTGTACTGTCTGCACAGACAGTCATGCTGTCTACCAGCTTAGCTCATATTTCGCGGCACTAAGGTGCTGCCCTCTGGGCCTGTCCAAGTCTCTGGGAAGCTGGTCCCACATGCTCTCACTCACACAGCGGCCTAGCAGGAAGACACAAGGCCTACTAGTAGCTCTCTCATGGGATGGCCCTCCCGGGCCATGGGCACAACACAAGCCTGTGTACCCACCACCACATTACTAATAAAGTAAGAAGCCTCCGAAGACGTATCATTTACTTCCCCGCTACCAGCTACACCAAATAATCGCGTTAAACTTCTCACTTAAGACTTGAGTTTTCCAGCATTAAATTTTCCCAGACTGACAGATGGTGAAAACTGCAGGTCTTAATTATTCGGTGCAATACACCCTTTATACACGGTTTATTAATACTGAGTCATATATTTGGTAAAGCCTGGAAACCCTGAGTAGCCCAGGTCTCTGTTGGATGATGGTGTCTTCAGTTGAACAATCGAAAAACAGCCAGAACAAAGATGCATATTCGTCTCTGCTGCGATTCGAAGAGGTATCCCTGAACCCTAGTAACACCTGCCCTCTGTCAAAATATACCTCAAGAAGCAATAGGAGAAAGAAGTCACAAAATTTATTGTTTCTCTCCCTTCCCCTTTTATTTTCTCTTTCGTTGTTGTATGAGGTTATATTGATGAAGTTTGGGAACTCGTTTCAGGAGAATATAATTGATGCAAAGGAATGTTATTTAACCATAAAAGTGAATTGTTGGGGTGTAGGAGTGAGTTCTAGGAGAGTAGGATTGATGTGAAGCTAAACACTCTCAGCATTCCTGCGTGCTGAAACTCCACCTTTTACTGAGGTGTGTCAAGATGACCCACCATTATAAACGCAGCTAGGGAGACCATAAGCAAACCAAGATCTGTAGCTTTGTACTTTTAACAAAAGCTGGAAGTCAGCATTTCCCTCAATTACACAAATGTTAGTAACATGACCAGAATCTAGAGTTCAGATTTTTAAGCTGGATAACAACTTCAGCAAGGCCAAGAAGTGAAGCCTACCAGCTGTAGTAGGAAAGTGAGTCGTATATTTATATTAGATGTAATGGAGTAGGTAGAGTGTTGGACTGTGTTGAAAAATGTAGACACATGTGCAGCATCTGTGTATCTTTATTGTAGACGTTTCGCCAACCAGTAGCTTTATCAATACAAATTCTATACCGTATACCGTTCATGTATAAATTGGACTGTGTTGTTGAGGTGTTAGTGTAAGACATTGAATAAATTCCTACAAGCCTGAAATAGAGAATTTTTATATGAGCCTACACTCCACACATAAAATATTTTTATGAATTTTTATTTTTATAAATTAATATATTAAACTTTAATTTAAGATCTTCCTCTGGAATTTTTTTTTTCGTTTTTTTTTTGTCTGCGAGGGGCCTGGAGCTGCAGCTCCCTCAGGAAGTTATATGGAGTATGAGAGTTATGTAGAATTTTAATGACAGAAGCAGTATTAGGTTTGTGTTAAAAGTTTGGTATTTATAAGTGTGTAGGAGGTGTGAGGGTGTGAGGTATGGCAGCACATTATAGTTTACGTTGTGAAGTGCAATTGTCTAGGTGACACTGAACAACAGTCACAGATTAAGTATAGATCCAGGAAACTAGAGCTCGATCTTTAGTAGGAGGCACAAAACCTGAATCTGTTCTCCCTAAACACCTGTCAGACTAACAAACTGTAGCTTAACCACTGACGAATTAGGAATGGGAGCTCAGTGTCTTAAACAGTCCAGGAAAGAGCTCAGCTCAATTATTTAACCTCATTTTATTTAACCTCACAAGTAAATAAATGAGAAGTGGAACAAGGATCTGGAATTCAACCCCTTATAAAATGCCCAAAGCTGGGGTTCGTGGTCATTAATTTTAAGCACATTTAGGAGAGCTACACTAATTACACCCACAAGTTTATTTGGTTTAAAAATTTTTTTTATGCTCTGGCATTTATTTTTTTGCATTCAAGAAGAGTTTAGTAAATAATAAGTCATTATAATGTAACTTTAACAGTTCAGAATAAACCTACAAACTGTAAGTGGAAGATAACATTAAGTTTGAAGCCACTCAGAAGTTGTATGATCAACTTATCATGGAAAGCTTGAAGATAATCAGATGCGACACTCAGAAATTTTAAATTTTTTTGAAAAAAGGGGAAAAAACAAAGAAATTAGAACCTATGTAGTCCAAAATATATCAAAAAAAAAAAAAAAAAAAAAAAAATCTAAGCAAGACAGACCAGCTTTTAAGAAAATAAGTAGTTTTTTTGCAATATTAGTATACATAAAATACGAATGTTACCAGTAATCTAGAAGGCACATAAATGCTATAGAAACCTAGAAGAACATCAAGTTAATTTAATCCAGGATAACCAAAGAAAGTCAAACATTGTGACTTATTTCTGATCAGAAAAGACACTTCCCATTTATTGCACAGTAACTAATTTTATTAAAAAAACTGGAAGATGATAACGTACACAAGCTGACATCATGAGATTGTTTCATATGAGGAAAACACATCAACACTAGAAGTTTAAACCCCACCAGATGATGCATTTTCCAGCTAGTGCACACAATCCAACACAATTTGTGCCTACACAGCTTAAGCTATAAAACATTCCATCCATTTAATTTCAGTTCTTGAAGATTGATGCCAGTCACAGTTTTAATCAGAGGGACGCGCTAAACCCGTTGGGGTCAAATAGAGCGTGTAGAATGTAGAATGGGAGGCATTCAAATTCGACCAAGCATGGGGAAGATAAGTCCAGTATCGTGGATCAAGAGCCCCTCACCAACATCAAGGCAAAATAATGTAATAGTAAAAAATAATGCTATACCATTTCAAGATTAAAAGTGTCAAGATGGTGTCAAGAGACTCCATTAAATGTTGATATTGTGAAGGCGACCCGGTGAGTCTGTCTCCACCTGCCACACGGAAACAAACATCTGGGACTGGACTGTATAACATTGTGCATATGTAAATATGTAGTCCCACGGATCTTGCACGACACAAGTATTGAAAATCTGAAGCCGATCGAATATGGCGTTCTCGAGTAATAAACAGTAATTTACGAGAAAGCAAACGGAAAT